ATACAATTAATAAGATTTAATATAGTATTTGCAGGTTTGATATGACATTTATATCTTATAATGATCTATAAATGTACAGTACACGTATTTTTTGAGTCATTAATAAGTTTAATTTTTTATATTCAAAATGATCAATGATAAAGAATAATAAATCACAAATCATTGTGACGATAGATACAATATATACTGATTAAAAACAATATTTATTTAATTAAGATCGAATTTAAAACAAAATATTGCGAAATCTTTTCTAAGACGGCTTTTTATGATGAATATATCCTTTATATGAAAAATTGTGCAACAACTTTACAATAATATAAAGAAATATCGCAGTCCTAGTTTAACGTGTAAATAAAACAAATGAATGAATGAAAAGAAATAAGGGATTTCCTCTTTATTATGGGGCTAATTACAACTAATTCGGTTTACTTCCTGTAATAATGTCCCGCTTATCAATTATCATTATCACCACGATTAAATTTGCGTCGACGAGACGACTCCCTGTAATAGCGTTCTGCAAGGTCCCGCTTGTCGCCGGCACGATTATATTTGCGTCGATTAGACGACTCCCTGTGATAGCGTTCTACAAGGTCCCGCTTGTCGCCGGCACGATTATATTTGCGTCGATTAGACGACTCCCTGTGATAGCGTTCTTCAAGGTCCCGCTTGTGGTCGCCACGATGAAGTTTGCGTAGTTGGGACGACTCACTAAAATAACGCGGTTCGAGTTCAGTTTTTCCAGAAATGGCATCATCAGAAAAACGTGGATAAACAACATTAGATTCGTGAGCAGAAATTGAGGTAGAGGCGTCAGCTAGAAATGGACCAACCACTCCGGTTGTCAAGAGAACACTCAACAGGAAAAAATTTTTAAGATGCATTCTCGAATTTTATTTTGATCGTTTCAATATTATTATTATTGTTGGAAAAGGGAAGGTGGTCAATGATGATTTATGTAATTAAGAAAGGAGGAAAGAAAGGAAGAAAAGGAAGGTAAGTAACAGAAAGATTTTCCGTTTAAATGGTGGAATACGAAGTTGATTCATGGCAATATCTCAACCTTATATATAAAAAAAAATAATAATAATTTCTGAACGTATAATATAATAAAAAGTCTACATTGTAGAAAGATGGCAACATAGCAATTTTAAAATGTTGACAGGTAATTAATTAATCTCAATAAAACTTTATTTCGATTGTTTATTTATTGTAATTAACGAATTTTTAATTACGAATAATTATTTAATCCCCCTTGTTAACCTCTTCCTTTCGAGATATCTTTACAATAATAACTTTTGAAATCCAATTTTGGAAATTATTATATTCCTACTAGGATCATTGTAAAATCGACCTTTTGTTTCCCTCAATTGTTTTACATCCCACATCCCTGATCAATTTATTAATTAATCAATCAAGCTAATTATCTCCGTGTGACAAACATTTACAAAATGTACACATCACATGTGCATTATGTCGATAGTTTTACACATTTATGGATTCCACGCGTATAATGTGAAATGATCTGGGAAGGTAAATATAGAAAAGTCCAAAAAAAACAAAAAAAAGGTTAAAATTTAATCGCACCACAATCATTTTAAAAAGTTTTAATTGGACCACATCGCGCAGAGATTGAAACAACTTTTCACCAAATAAAATAAACCTTTTCTTTGACCTCAGATAATTTTCCTGATCTGTTTTATCCTATTTTTGGAAAGACTAGTACAAATTAGAGAATGTCATTTAACGATTAGAGTAACAAGACAAATAAGTTTTCGATCGGCAATTACAAATTTTTTATTGTTAATCATTTATGGAAATATGAACAAGTTGCATAGATTAAGTGCATATAATACCATTAACTAATGAATTTACATAATGTGATAAACCACGTGAATTAGGAGAACCAATGATTCGACAAAATTTTTTTATTGAATGTTCATTAAGGATTTATTTATCATGAAAGATCCAACAATAAATTTATAAGACTAAAATAAAAATTTTGAAATTTGAAAAAAAAAGAGGGAAAGGGAAAATAAATTTTGAAAAAAAAAAAATTTTTATACGATTATTTTAATTTTGTTTTATGTTAAACAATTATTTTATCTCTGTGCAGCTTTCTTTTCACCAATTTCTGCTTCTTTTTTAGGATCCAAGGATTCTCCGGTACGTTGTTCGTGTAATTCTGCCAATTTCTCGGCCGCATGTTCACTTGAAAAAATTTGAACACGTATATTAATGTGGGAAAAAAATGCCACCAAAATCACCAAAAAGGAATTATTATCATTAAATTATAAAATCTGAATTTATTTATTTACCGTCCTTCTGCAGTATTGCTCGGGTTATGGGCTGCGGCTTTGTAGGAACGTTCAGAACGTTGTTCTTCCGTATCGGCTCTCACAGGTTGAGCTTGAGATTCAGGAGTATCACCCATTGTAGATGAAAGTCGGATAAATACGAGGTTTTGTTTTGTTTTGTTTGTTTTGTTTATTAAACGTGTTAATCGATAAATTTTGGTTTTTTTGTTTATTTAAACGTGTTAATTTGATAATTCTTTGTTGAGAAGAAAGATGGGAGGAATGTCCATCTTTTTATATAAATTTTTTTTATATAACTTTTTTAACAAGAGAATTGGCTGAAAAGCTATCAAACTTAATTTCGAGACGATAATTTAGATCATTACGAAATTATGATTTAGCATTTTAGCACCGGAAAGAAAGAAATGTCATGATTACAAGAGATTTCGTCAATGTTTAGATGATGTAAATTACATGCAACGAAAAACCTTTATGTCAGTAAAGATATGTCATTTACAATCTGTTTTTCATAAGGAAGAATTTTTAGGTGCCGTATACGCCCGCAGAAAAATAAAAGTTCGTCTCCACGTGGAGAGTTAACTTTTTCGTGGATTCTGTGAATGTTCTATAATATTATTGGATCGATATTATGTCATTGATGATCAATAGCTGTCATTTCTCACGCGAGAAAAAAATAAATTGTTTCAAATTTCGTAATGTTTGTTTCCATTTTACTTCATCTTTTTTAGATAGGTTATGTAATAAATGCTAAAGGAAAGATTTTTTAATTCACGAGTTTTACGTAATGCAAATTTAATAAACGATTTATCTGTTGACAAACCAAGTTAACGTCTTAACCTTTTGGCAAAGTAGACGATTAACCATTACTTTTATATATTGCATGACAGATCATCATTTCGTTTGTTGATCATTACTAGATTGGTATCATTATTTTTATTTTTTTTTCTTAAATTGCAATCATTTTTTTTTTTGATTCGTTCTCTTTTATTTATTGTCGAGAAGAAACTTTTAATAATGGTGAGTCTTTTTTATTTATGAAAAAGCCGTATTTTTTTTTTGAGGGATGGATTTATGAAAGGATTGGATGTGAATTTTTATTTTTAAAGATTGATTGGACAAAATTAAAGGATTGATGTATGGATCGATAGATATCGAAATTTATAGTTAAATAGATAGATCCTTCATAACTATAACTATAAAATATATAAATATATTATCATTTTCTTAGTCTCTCGTCGTACCTGATAAGAACCAGTTCCAACATATTCTTCGTTTATTGAACACCAATGTTGAGTAAGTATCGAATTTAATTATTTTGGAGAAAAAAATTTTTAATCCTTTTCCTTTTTTTTCCTTTTTCTTTCAATTATTTATTTATTTATTTATTTTTTTTTAGGGGTAAAACCAAAGTAATGTTCGCCTTGACGGCCATCAAAGGTGTTGGTCGTAGATATTCTAATATTGTATGCAAAAAAGCAGACGTCGATTTACGCAAACGGTATCCAATTTTTTTTTTTTTCCATTTGCAAACCCTTTAAAATTTAAAATAAATTAAAATGCTAATAAAGAAATCTTTCTTTTTTGAAAAAAATTCAAAGAGCTGGTGAATTAACTAATGAAGAATTAGAAAGGATCGTAACGATCATTCAAAATCCAACACAATTTAAGATTCCAAACTGGTTCTTAAATAGACAAAAAGATATAGTTGACGGAAAGTATTCTCAGATTCTTGCCAATGGATTAGAATCTAAATTACGTGAAGATTTAGAAAGGTTGAAAAAGATTAGAGCTCATCGTGGTTTAAGACATTATTGGGGTCTTAGAGTGCGAGGTCAACATACTAAAACTACTGGTAGACGTGGTAGAACTGTTGGTGTATCCAAGAAGAAAGGTTAGTTTTTGATTAACTTATTCTTAAGTGGGAAATTCTTTTACTTTAAATATTATTTTGGATGGGATGACTATAAAATTATTTACCTTATCTACATTGACTGAACAACGATATTGTTGAATCATAATTTGCTGATCCAAACTTATAATTTATTTTCATTTTTTATTTTTTAAATCTATCATGTACTAATTCAATGGTTCATTCCACTAGGTTAATATTTCTCACATCAAATGAGATGTCATTCAACGCATTTATCATTATCATCATCAGCTCTCGTGTTGGTTATCAATGACAGAGAAAAAAATTATATAAATAAATTTATTTTTGCTTTTTTATTGAGATTAATGTTGTTTGACATTTTATTATTACAATAAATCTTTAAATTTTTAAATGTTATCGTCATAAAACAAAAAGAAATAAATAAAAAAAAAAAAAATTTGTCGAATAAAAATTAATAAATAATGTCAAGATTACAATTCAGATAATAATTAAGCTTTCATTTTCTCCTTGATTACGTAAAGAATCTTTTTAACTGCTTTATTCTTCTTTTAAAGTTTATTTATATCTAGTATAAATCCACAGTATACACTTAAGTTACCTCCAGCTAAAAATAAAAAAGAAGGGAGGGGAAATCGAAAGAATTATATACAAATATAAACATAACTTACAATAAAACGAACAATTGTTTTCCATCTTTGTCTTTTTCTATAATTAGCAAACATTTATAATTTATATTACAAATTCTTTTGACTTGCAAAAATTTACAAATAGAAATCATTCCGAACGAGGAAGAGTCATCTTTTTACCGGTTTCCCTTTAAATTGACGCATATTAGAAGGATGTGAATTTGGATGAACATTATGATCATTGTTGGTATGTCTATCAAGATCATTTGTTGAAGTAAAGACTAGTTTACATCCCTTATGACAACATTTATATTTAGGAGTCGTAGAAGAAATAGATAATAGTGTGTTTATAGATATATTTTGTCCATTTTGGTTTTGAGGATCATTAAATTGAGATGAGCTAATGTCAAGCATATTTGTAACATCAATGGGATTGTCATTAAACATTGGTAACGCTTGATTTTGTTCATTCAGATTTGTCTCGTGCAAATTGGAGGATCTAAAGGCATCGTTACCCATCCATTGCTGCTGTGCACTAGTAGCATTATTATCGATTTCCATATTTGAAGATGTTTGTGGATTTGAATCATTAAACCGTTGATTTATTTGCAACCCTTGATTATTCTTCGAATTTGCTTTGTGAGGTCCACGATATTTATCGGGATCCTTTCCATGAATACTTCTTTCATGATACTGCAACCCATTTGCCGTGAGGTAACGATTTTTGCAACCTGCAACAGGACATTTGTAGGGTTTGTCTACAACTTCATTAATTCCCTCTTCCGTATCATATTTGTGCCCTGATGATCCTTTGGCAGTATCAAGATGATATGAAAGTCCATTGATATTCTTGTATTTTTTAGCACATCCAACCCAAGCGCATCGATATGGTTTATCGGAACCAATCACTGAAGGATGTGCCGCCTTCATGTGATAATATAATCCATTAGCGTTCGTAAAAGTAAGTTCACATCCTGATACCCCACAACCGTAAGCTTTAACATTCATCTCGGCTTCAGTTCCTTGTGAAGGTTGTTGAGAACTTTCTTGATCTGTTGGAATGTCTAAATTCATTTGATTATTTGAAGAACCTGGTGATGATAATAAAGATGCGATGCTAGGACCGTTTGAAGATGTTGATGGTAAGTGTGAAATGGTATCAGATGTTATATCATTTTCAATGGTTGGAGCAATTGATGATGAAATTGATGACGTGGGGTTGGTTGTTAGATTTGACGGTAAATTCGTTGACAAATTCGACAACATATTCGAATGCATATCGGTTGTGGGAACATTAAGATTAGAATTTGATGAATAATTAGGAATGTAATATTTCGGACTCAAATTGGCTTGTAGGTTTGATGTCATATGGGAATGTAAATCCGAATCCGATTGTAGATTTGAAGGTGGATTGTTGTCCAATAAATGTGATTGCAAATGTTGTTGTTGCTGTTGCAAGTTCGAATGAACGTGTGATTGTTGCAAATTTACGTTCTGACGTGACATGATGGGAGACGAGCGCGATTGTACATGCGGTTGTGTATTTGATTGTTGTACGTTCGATTGCACGTTATTCGTTGATAAATTGAACTGTGTATTCGATTGTAAACTTTGTTGTAGATTTTGCTGCATATTTTGTTGCATGGTTGAATGCATATTTTGAGGTGTTGAATGTAATGACGTCGATAGAGAAGAGGTTGAAGTATGAGGCGAAGAAGAAGAACTTGGTGTAGTTATATCATTAGGAGTTATGATATTGATAACCATATCCATTGAAGGATCTTTGTGTGCTTTCTTGAGCCTTTGAATTTTTCTCCACCTATTTCGACAATGTAATCCTGGACGTCCTGGAAAGAATTGGGCAATCTGTTGCCATTGACTTCCAAATTCCTCGTATTTATCAATTAATAAATTATCTTCGATAGTTGACCATTCCGTATGATCAATGTCAGGATCTAAACATTCTTTCCATCTTTTAGCGCATTGATCATCGGTACGACCTGGAATAAATTCAGCAACTTTACACCATACTCTATTATGTTTTTCAACAGCCTTTCTTAAAAGTTCATCTTCCTCTTCAGTCCATGGACCTTTACGTAGATTTGGATCAAGTGAATGAAACCAACGTTTTCTGCACATTTTATTTGTTCTACCAGGAACGCAGGCAGCAATTTTCGTCCATCTTTCTGACCTATCACCATAAAGTTGAACGGCAAGACGAAGTAAATTATCTTCATCCGCAGTCCATGCTGTTTTATCAGTTTTAATTTTATATTTTGGTCTAGAAGGACGAGGTCTAGATTGAGGAGTTGCTGGTAAGGGCAATGGACCCGCAGGTGCAATTCTTGGAAGTATAGGAGGTAATATATTTTGCAGTGCACTGTTGGTGGAGTTAGTACTATTGCTTCGATTATGACTTACGTCTGGTTGATATGCATTGATATAATTTGGAGGTGGCAATGCAGGTCGTAAGATAGCGGAAAAGGGTTCTTGTTGTTGAGGGCTATTGTTATACTATATATATAATATGATATTTATTTATAAAGAAATGAGAATATTAAAAGGTTCTTTAGATACTTTTTTTAATGTTTATAATTCTTAAATATTTTTTAAACTTTTTTTTGTTAGGTATAAAAAAAAAAAAAAAAAAAAAAAAAAAAAAAAAAAGGAAAGCTCACCATGAAGTTAAAAAAAAAAATTTTTTTTTTTTTTTTTTTTATTCTTTGGTCTTCTACAAAATAAACTCGAGAAAAAGTTTAAAAAAATAAAAAAAAAAGATTTTTTTTTTTTTTTTTAATTTATTTTTGAGAAAAATTTTCTTATAGTACGTCCTAATACTTTTTGTATGATGGTATTATAACACTAAATTCGTCATAAATAACCAAAGGACTCAGGATTGTCTCAGGACTTGATATATTCACGGATCACAAGGGTTTAGGCAAGTTTATGTTTAAATCTTATCCTCTTTTAGAAAGTTTAGAATGTGTGTGTTTAAAATCACGTGAACTGATTAACTTCCAAGCCCGTTTACTAAAATTCACGGATCCGTATCTATAATTCCTTTGAATTCCTATTTATATCTGAAATATTTCTATGACGCTATGTATCACAAGAATCCGAACCTTAATTTCAAATTTTTTTTTTTTTGAGAATAAACGACTTAGTTGGTAAAATGGCGCATTACATAAAGGAAGAATTTACGAATTAAAAAAAATCTCGTTCAGAATTAAGGATAAAGAGTGTTTCGTGGTATGTTACACCAGGATAATAGCTCAACAGTTAAGAATATACCACGTTTTCTATTTAAAACAATGCAAATTAAGACATGCACAGAAATGGCTTTGGGGAAATAATGACATAGCGCGTTAGCATCCTTGGTCCAAAATAATCAAATTAGTTGACCAAGAGATTTTGGTGAATATCTTGCGAACCTTTTTTTTTAAAAATATATAAATTTTGTGGCTTAAATTCCGGAGTAACAGCAAAATAAGTATCTTTTAAAGCATTTATATTTATCACCATTATTAGCATTATTGCATTATTGCATTATCGACTTTTATTTTTAACCGTATTTATGTTTGTATTTTTTTTTGTAATTTATAATTATTGGTTCAAATTTTTTTTATTTATATTTAAGTATATGTTAATTTTAATTATCATAAAATCTATTAATTAAATATAAATTATTCTTTTACCAATTATAATAACTCATTAAATATAATTAATCTATATATTAAATCTGTTAAAATTATTAGAATCCTACTTCAAGTAAAATAAATTTCATTTAATATCTTAAAAAGATAAAATACAACTTATAATTATTATATTATTTTAATAAAATATGTCAAATGATAGTTAATTATATTTATAATATTAATAAATAAATATTAATAACAAATTATATTTTAGAAATATTTAATAATTAAATTTATAAATTCAAATTCCATAAATCAAAATACTAATATTTTAAATAATTCAGTTTTGATAAATTTAATTTTCAAATATTTTAAATTATAAACAAATTAATTTCAGATATTTAAAATAGTTAAATGATCAAAACTAATATGATTTTAAAAAGCAAAATTAGTTGAAATAAGATTATATTATATTATTATATAATATAAAATATTATAAAAAGTTAAATTTAAATAATGTTATATCTATTAATTAAAAAATCAATAACTTTAACTTATTAAATCATCTAAATAAAAGAATTTGAATAATAATTTTTTTATAAAAAACTTTATTTTATTTTTAAAATTATTATTTTATTCTAACACCTATGATATTTATAATTTCTTATTTTTTAATAAATTGTATACTGAAAAATAATCATTTATATACCTTTATTTCAAGATTATTTAATTTTATATCATTTTTAACTTTACCTTTATTTATATAAAAAGTATTATAACTATAAAAAATAAAATTATTTAGAAATTTAAAATAGTTTAATTTATTGATAAATCTAAATATAATTTATTAAATATATATTTTTAAATAATTATTTTTATAAATATTAGCAAACTTATATAAAAATACTTCTAGTATTAATATAATTTATTAAATTATTATAATAAAATAGAGAAATTAAATAATAATTTATTATAAAAGTCAATTCAAATAATAAAAGAAACAAAAAAATTATATTAATGATAATAATTGAGTTAATTTTATAAAATTTTTAAATTTCTTACTTTTATATTTAATATCATTTTAATTGCAATAACAGAGAAAAATCTACTAAAAAAAATTTTTACTTTATTTAACTAAAAATAAGTTGAATTTAATATTAACTTAAAGAATTTTTTTTATATTGATAAAGCACTTATATTTATTATATAATATTTATTAGTAAAATTAAAGCTTCTAGTATTTTAATAAAAATTTTCTAAAAATTATTTTCTTAATTAAAAAAAATATTTGTAATTTATATAAAATTTAAATATAAATAATTAAATTTTGTTAAAATACCTTCAATTTGATTATTTATATAAATTGTATTATTTATAAGAAAAATAAGATATTGTTTATATTTAAATTATATTTTATATATAAGTAATTTCTATTTATATATAGGTATATTATACATAAATTATATAATACAACTAGTATTAATATTGCTTTTATATAAATTATATTATTACAGAATAATTTACAAAATCATGCTGCTTCTTGTTTTACCTATGATGAATCTCTGTCTCATTAACAAAAGGAAAAGTAAGAGAGATTATTAATAATATAAGTAATCTGAATTAATAATTTTTAAAATGCATAAATATTAATATTATTTTAATATAGTTAAAGAAAACCAATCTAATATTTCTGATTTCTGAAACTGATTTCATACTTTATAATTAACTCATCTTATATTATAATAATATAGATGAATATTTTTTAATTTCATTTTAATATCCTATTCAAATAAAATTAAATTTATATTAATATTATTAATAATTAATCAAATAAAGAAAAAAAAAGAATATTCACCCTCCTTTTAAAATAAAGTATAAAATAAATAATTTTATATATAAACCAATGACAACTTATAAGTTTCTAAAACTTTAGATATAATTTAAATATTTAAATTCTTTTTATTATATTTAAATTTTCAGTGATGATGAAAATAAACTGATAATTAAATAATAAGGAATATTTAACGTGATTTTATTTAAAATCTTAAAAATTAATATGTTATATCTTGTAATATATATTTTAAGATATAATAATTATTTAATAATCTATTATACAATACTAATTTTTATCACTAATTTTATGCATTTTAAAATATATTTTAAAAAATAAATATATATAAAAAAATATATATTATTTAATAATCTTCTATATGTTTTTCTATTTATTAGAATTATTTTATTAAGATAAATTAAATGGTAATAAATTCATATTTTTAAATATAAAGCTTGTATAATTATAAGATAAAGTGCTAAATAAATTAGCAGTATTTATTGACAATCACTACACATGACATTTTATAATATTTTTTTAATCTAGTAATCATAGAAAAATGAATTATAGCTTATTAAATTTATTTTATTAAGACGAATTTAATAACATTAAAATTTATATTTCTAGATATAAAATTTATGAAATTATGAAATTATAAAAAAATTATCAGTTTTTTTTATTACCAAAAAATAAATGCTTCAATTATAACTGAAGTTACCAATATTTTAAAAGATACTTAAGAAATAAATACTTATAAATATATTCTTATGAAGTATAGTTTAATAATCTTTTTGAGTACAATCATGTCACTTTTTAGTTTAGTCATATAAATTTTGTTACATGAAATTATTTGAATTTAAAGAAAATGCTTAAGATACAAAATAAAAAAACTTATAAATATTACAGCTTAGAAACTTATATAAAGTATGTAAATTAATTTTAATTATCTAGTTCTAGTTAGTAATAAATACTAATTATTTTAAATTAATTTATTAAAAGTAATTTAATTAAAGCTAAATTTAATGAAAAATTTTTATTATAAGTTTATACTTTACTAAATAATATGAATAAATTATGCAAACTTTAATAAAAGTTTAAAAAGTTTATCATTTTTTTAGTCAAGATATTTTTAGTTTTACATATAATATATAAAGTAAAAAAAATATCTTGAATATGTTTAGCATTATTTTATATTTAAAAATTTTGTTATTTGTTTATTTGATTTTTAATTATCATTTATATTTAACTACTTTTTCAAATGATCAAATAATGATTATTTGTATTTCTAAAATTATGATTCATGCTTAAATCAAATTAAAATAGTTTAAAATGAATCTTTTATTTAAAAGAGTTCAAGTTAATATTAATTAGTTTGAAGTTAATAGTTATAATTAGAGCTCTGCAATAAGTTGAGTTACTTGCAAGTCAAATGAGCTAACTCATCTAGATTTAACTTGAATCCTATAAAATGAGCTACAAGTCAGACAAGTTAGCTTATGCTATAACTTAGTTTGTATTATAGTTTAGCTCATTGACTTGCATTTTCTTCTTTGAAGTAAATAAATCTAAAGAGATTTTCTTTGAAGAAAAAATGCTCTGATAGCATTTACTTAAAGAAAAATAGTTTCAGTAATATTTCTTTGAAGAAAAACAAATCTGATGATATTCCTTTTGAAAAAAATAAATCTAGTGACATTTCCTTTAAAGAAAAATAAATCTGATGACATTTTCTTTAAAGAAAAATGCATTCAGTAGTATTTTCTTAAAGAAAAATACACTTAGGATTAAATTTCTTTAAAGAAATTCGTTTTTAAAGCAATTTTTTAAATGATTTCACTTCTAAAGTAATTTTTATAAAGGATTTTAATTCTGAATGTGATTTCTTCAAAGGAAAAGCTACAGAGACGATTTCTTTCAATAAAATTTCTTTAAAAATAAAATCTTTAATGGAATTCGTTTTGAAAGTAAATTTGTTCTAAAAGCAAAATCTTTCAAGAAAATTATTTCAGAAATAAAATCCTTCAAGAAAATCATTCTGAAAGTAAAATCCTTCAAGAAAATTGTCTGAAAGTGAAATTCTTCAAGAAAATCATTCTGAAAATAAAATTTTTCAAAAAGATTATTCCAAAAATAAAATCCTTCAAGAAAATTATTCTAGAAATAAAATTCTTCAAGGAAATTGTTTTGAAAATGAAATCCTTTAAGAAAATCATTTCAAAAATGAAATTCTTCAAAAAAATCATCCTGGAAGTATCAGCTAATTTGAATTGGAATTTTGATCTGTAAACTAAATATAACTCAACCTATTATAATATAAATTACATAGATTATATTCAGATTTAAGGATTTAAATACACTTTAATATGTAAAATCAACTCAAATCTATAAAGTCAAATTGAATTACACAATTGTCAATTAGGTCTTAACCTTTTTGAAACTAATTCTGATAAATATATATGTAATTTATTATTTATATTAGAAAAAATAAATGTTTAATAATTAAAATATTTGTAAGTTCTTCAAAAAATATGATAATAATTTTTCATAATTCAGATAATTCTTTCATTAAAAATTGTAAAATAAAAGAATAATACATGTATAATTTCTGCAACTTTGAATTTTTTTCATATTACACAGTAAATTTTTGTAATTACCTTCGAAAAGTATTTGATATGATATAAATATTATTATTAAATTACTAGTCTCATATTATGCGAGAATATTTAAGTATTCATAATTAAAATTTTTTTACATGTAAAAAGCATTCTAGTAATAATCATTAGCAAAAATTTATATTAATATTTATTATGAGTAGTATTTATTAAAATCATATGCGCAGAGAATTTTATTTTACGAAAAATTTTAATATGCTGTAACTTCTATACTAAAGATGGTCCTCATAATTATTTTCAAATTTCAATTGAATTGCAACTTAATTGCGTCATAAGGAAATTTAATTGCGTCACAAGTTGCAACTCAATTGCGCTATTTTTTTTAATTACGATGACCATTTTTATTCTATACTATCTTGAAAAGTATATTCATTTTTTTGTATATAATACTTGCATTAATAATCTTGTTATAAAATACTAGTTGTCAATAAATAGAATTTATTATATAAAAGATAGTCATTAATCATTTAAATATTATCATAAAACAAATTTTCTGAGTGATATTGATATAAATATTTTCTTTTTTAATTTGTAAGCAAGAATTAATATTAAGCATCACAAAATTGAAGAAATT